TTGTTTTATTAAAGGTTTAGTTTATTAATCAGTCTGATGATATTTAAGTTAAATTCAACATAAACATATCCTTGATGAGTTATGATATCAGTGATTTGTGGTGTTATATTAAGTGTTGAAGCGGTAGCCAACATGCTAAATCTTTATTTTCTCAAAAATTACAAAAATCTTTGCAAAATAAAATAAAAACTGAAAATCTTTATTGAAACAGAGCCATTATTATGAATAATATTATCACATTAGAAATAGATAAACTCAAGAAAGGTATTCCATTAATCTTTGTCAAATTTTTTTTACGAACTTTTTTCCAATAATTTCTTTTTTTTATTTTAGATTCTAGTCGATTTTACTTTTTACTCGAATTTCAATCATATTTCTGCTTCTTCTATTCGATGCAGAAGACAAGAAGATGACATTGTCTCACACCCTTTTATGTGGCAAGTTGAGAATATATTTCAACATTTGTTTTAATATCATTTCATATTAATAAAGAAAGAAAATTGAACAAGATAATACAAATGTTATTATTTACAGATCATATAGCAATAAAATGTTTTGTATTTGTGTTATTCATGACAGCATTGAACACTGTATGATACAAGTGTCGTTACCTATATCTATTCAGTCATCATTTCGCTTTGCCCATACAGCTACAGACAACTCATTGATTTAAATATACTGAACATCTTTATTTTCGCATGTACCTTTTAATATAAATAATTAAAACTATATTCATCATATGACAAACTAAAAGAATAGCATTAATCGAATTCTTACTCATTATAATAAGAGCTGTTAAATTAGACTTTAGGAACCTTGACGATATGTCAATAAATACTCTTCCACCAACGCTACAGACATGTTTCAAGTTCGATCTTTTGAAGATATATATTTTACAATAGAGCACGATGATGTTGGCTGTAATGTATCGATGTGTAAGAAGGAAATGTCAGATATTGTAATTTTCATTTTGTACTCACAATTCATGAGTGTTATTTAAACAGATTCGTCTCCGTTAGCTCCAATAATAAACACTTCTATACCAAAACTTTTTCGATTTCATCTAACTTTAATTGCACAAACTATTCGTTTCTAAAAATAGGTTACGGTTGCTTGTTCTACTGTTAATATTATTTTGACAAAAAATTCTTTCTATACTATTTGTTTACGACATATTTGCTTTTTAATTATTATTTCATTTTAATCTTTTTCTGAAGTATATACACAGACGGATAGCATATTTTCATTTGTAACAATGTGCCATGCAATACTTATTTTCAACCATTATTCTTAATTACTTCTATCTCTGTTTCAATGATTTGATTCTATTTAAACCAATCTGCTTTTTTTCATGTTTTATATAAATAATAAATTGTTAATGATCAGTCTACTTCTGCATGAGGAAAATAGCCTTTTACATGCTAATGAAGTGGTATTTTTCTAGGAACAAAGTTGTTTGAATATCCAGGAAACTCTAGTTTTCGATGTAAACATACGTATTTCAGCTTCGCACAATTACTTCGTGATGTGTTTCTTCGAAAATTGCATGTCACTTTTTTCAATAGTTTATAATCCATATAAACACTAACGCCAACTGGTAAACACGTTTTGGTATCGAGTAAGAACTGTTCATAATAATCTTTGCAAGTATCAGTAAGATTAAGCTCTTTCAGATAAGGATATTTAATGATTGGTAAATCTTGATGATCATTCTTTGATTTTCTAAATCGTTTATTAATTTGTCATTTCTTTGATTATTTACAGTTAACTCTTCTATCAATGGAAATGATTGAGTAATTCGAAGAAAAAATTCATGTTCAAAAAGATGTTCGTCAAATAGTGACACTTTACGAACGCATGTAAATATTCTACCTGAAAAATTATTTGTTATATTATCGTAATAGTTCAGTTTATATGGATATGAATAAATATGACATTGATCATAATTTGCTTTTGGAAAATAATCAACACAATAGACAATTTTGTTGTTAAAATCTCTAAATGTCTTTTGAATATTTTCATTCGATGGTAAATTAATTTGATCATAAAAACAACTTGATGAATGAATATTAAACGTGAATTTGTTTAATCGTGACATATGATTAATAATATTTCTCTTCAAATCATTACCATCAAAAAATGTTTTTCTTCTATTAACTATCAGACACAAATTAAGTTTTTCTAAATAGAGCATTCGATGTAGAAGTAGTAAAATTAATTCATCATAATCACATGTTTTAATATCGCACTGCAGAGAAAAGCATTTTAAAGTAGGTAGTTTTTCCTAGAAAAGAAAAACAATATTATTAATTCAACTAAATTAGATATTTCAAAAAAAAATAATCTACCGTATTATTGATTGTTAGACTTGAAGAGACAATGAAAGAAATATTAGCAGAAAGCGTATGAAGTTGATTGAAACAACCATCAAGTAAATAAAGACAATCATTAAAAGTCGCCAAATAGACATGTAATTTTAATAGATTTGTAGAGATAATAGTTAGATGTGAAGTGGAAAATGATAATCGTTGATGATACAATAACAATGCACTAAAATTTAAAAATTGTAAATTAGTAAACGTAGTAAAGATATACGTACACATAATTGTATTATTATCTGCTAGTAAACATTGGATTTCATTTGTACTACTGTCGATAACAAGTGATGAAATTTGGTCTTTCAACGTATGAATTAAAGTTTCATCTAAACAATAAATACATTTAAAATTCATGAAAATATTTTATTAGATTTCATATGATTACGTAAATCTAAATATGTATAAATGAAAGACGCAGGTATCGCACAAACATTTTTTTTAATTTCAGAGACATATTTTGACAACTGATGAAGCTAGAGAGTTGACATTTTTAGGAAATACACATAGTTGACGGAGTTCTACTCTGCATAAAAACGGTAAGTTTCTATCTTTACGCTATAGGGCTTTGCACAAAAACAATATTGGTCTGTGAGAGATGGTTTTGTAGCTGACAATTCGGGCTATCTATTGATTAAAATATAGATGTCGATGCATTGAAAAATGAGCGACCTATATAGACTGTATATCAAGTAACACACAGACAATTCTCTTCAAAAGACAAAGTTTCGGTTGATTACATTGCTCTAGAACATCAAAATAATACTGCTGATTCGTATTTGCAGCTGCCACTAGTGGTGTTATATTAGAAATGTTGTCAGGTATGTGATCTTCCTCTTTGGTCG